TTAAATGTTTTAATATTGACATTTTGACTGAAATGTCTGACATTTGGTCTTCGTACACAGTTATCATCATTTGATTTACAAATATAGTCCCTAGTGTGGACAATGTCTAACTTACAAATTTTTTTTCATACACCTTCCTCTTTTTTTTTTCTCTATATTTATGCATAAAATAGTAATTAGAGGGATAAAAGTACATTAGTTTTCTAAATTTAATTGTTTCCAATTTTTCATGTCGGGGCCTTTTATAGCCGACCATACGGTATGCGGTTTTTCTCATTATTGAAGGTTGCCTATAATTGTTTACATCAACTTCAGTTGAACTTTGGTGGATAGTTGTCTCATTGGCAATCATACCACATCTCCTTATTTTTATGTAAAAGCAATAACAATCATGATTTTTTAGTTAAAGTAGTGATTTGGGTTAGTTGAACAAGGCAAAAATTAGTACATGTATGTATGGAGCTGTCAAACTGAATTACAGACCCCCTTAACATAATATTGTCCATATTTTGAGTTAGAGCTGGTAGAATATTCTATAGTTTTGATATATTTTTTTCCTAAAAGTAGTACATAACACTGTAAAAAGCTTGAGCAAGTGCAAGTGTGATTTTATTTTATTTTCATTTATTGTCTTAAAGAAATGCACTAAACAGATGCGGATCTAGGATTTAAAAAAGGGGCCCAGGGCCCCTAAACTAGGCAACGTTTGGAATAAGACATGTAAAAAGGCTATGCATTAACCATATATGTACCTTCCCCCTAAATCCACATCTGCTTTGAAGTAACTGTGTTTTCAAACTGAATGGACATTTTTTTTAAAAGTTGACATGACCTTAGATTAGGAAATTATAAAAGAGCAGACAAAGTTTCATGACAATACAATCTTTATTATAAACTATATGTCAATTTTAATCATTTAACTTTGGATGTTAATGTTTTTCATTTAATTTAACAATTTCAACTATCAAGATTTGTGATTTAAAAAAACTAATTTTACAAAAATTAGCTTTTAAAATACCATAATATATAATGTAGCATGTATTTAAAGCAATTGAAGAATCATTCAATGTATCAAAGATTCAAGATTCATTACAATTATTCAAAATTTAAATTAATATGAGACTGTGCCTGAAAATAAGAAATTTTCAAATGAAGGTGGCTTTACATAAAAATGTATTGTTTTCTACTAATTTAAAATTTTTATGTTTTTTTTGTTTAAATATTTCTTCCAAATATATTTAATGTCCCTTGGATGGAAAAAAAGTTACAAATATCATACCACATGAGTATAAAATGGTCTTGGCCATGTATAACTGAAAATTATTTTTTGGTCAATATAGGCCATAACACATATTTACACATAAAAATGAATACAGAACTGAGAAGCTATAGGAAAAAGTTTTGTTTTACTGTTTGCTCATTTCTATCATGTCTATGCTAAGATGTCATGATACAAGAAGTACAATATATGCTGATGCAGTGGTTTTTTTTCTCATTTTTTAGTGGATAACTTATTTAATTTAAGTCCCAATAGGCATATAATACATGTACATTGTATTTGGTCAACTTACTATCCTACCAAAGAAAATAAAGGTGGCATATTAAATAACACAGGTACACTAATCAACATAATTTACTGTTGAAAACTTTATAAATCTCTAAAAACATGTGTGCACTTAAAATTATTGTACAAGGGAGGGGGAGTGACAGGTATTTGCATAACATGATTTGCAGAACAGAATAAAAAAAAAACTTGCGCACTGTGAAAAGTTATATGGTTATATCAATGGAATAAGCCTGTAAAGTTGGCCTGTTGCTTATCAAACCGTGCTTGTCAACACTTTTTAATTGGTTAATTGTTATTGGAATTTATGTAATCTGGATAAGTAATGTATGGGAACTTAAATATAACCATAAATGGATTCTTTTGTCACCAGTATACTGCATGTTGTTATTTATATTTAAAGTAGATACCAAGATTGGATTTACTATGCCTGTCACAAATGTGGATGGATTATATAGATATACCCTTGTCCGTTCATAAGTATGTACATCCATATCAAGTTAAGTTTTGCATTTAGCCCCATTACTCAGAAACTTATGGTAATATATCAATGATATTTATTCACCACAGACATCTTGTATACTAGTAGTATAACACATTACTTGAGTCACTATGACCTACATTTCATGCTTTAGTGTCTTTGGTTCAGTCTTGCGTTTAGGTTCATTTCACAAAAATCTATAGTGATATATTACCACTACAGTATTCTTCTATAGTACAACACAGCTCAACAACAATTTTATTACTGTGACCTACATTTAATGGCAGGACATCCTGTGTCTTAACGAAACGTTTTCTAGGTAATACAAATCTAACACACTATTTAAATTGAAAATTATATGTACTATGTAATTTCAAAATCATAAAACGGATTAATTGGCAGATATGAAAAAATATTAAATGGCTGGTGTATCATGTTCAACTATCTCATGTAATAATTTTTATACATAAACAAGTACTCCTTTGAAATGAAAGATGAATTTGTCTGTCAAACTAAGATATAAATGGCTCTCATAATAATTCATTATACAACAAACAAAGAAGCTCACCTGTGTGTTATATTTGTCAGCTATATGTCTAAAATTTCAAATATATATAAAAAGATCGGCTTTGATTGCCAATGAGACGCGGCATGATTGAGAAAACTTTCCATCAGAGACTAAAACATGTAAAAGACGTAGAAGTTAACAACTATAGGTCACCCTATGGCCTTCAATTATGAGCCAACTCTATACTGCATAGCAAGCTATAAAACGAAATGGCAAATTTAAAGCAATTCAAAAAGAAAACTAACAGCCTGATTTATGTACAAAAACACAAAAACAAATAAAAATATGACGACAACAAATGACAAGCACTGAATAACAGGCTTCAGACAGGCACATACTACATATTAATCTAAACCTTTAACTTTTTCACAAAAACCATGAAAATGTAACATAAGTCATGAAGTTTGCAGAGAATCATAATTCCAAATGCCATTATGCATCTATTTTATTTTTTGAGGGAATTGATGTTTGAGGTTTCCCATATCAGACTTGGAGGAATAGAGGGGAAATTACTTTTGTATATCAATCTATTCATCTAGTAGCTAAAGACTAGTACTAATGTTAATTTGTATGTCCTATTGACATTAGATCTAATAAGAAGCAGTTTCCCAGTAGGTCATAATCTATAAAAGTTTTCCTTCTAAATATTTGGTATTTAAAATTATCTAGATTGTTCCCTACAGTCTAACTTGACTATTTTAACAATGATGACTTTGACAAATGAATTATATAATAATTCAGCTCCACCATCCACTTCTTGTTTTACATAATGTATTAAAGTATATCTGTAAACTTTGATTTATTAACATAATGATCTTATAGAAAACACTTCGAAATTTATGAATAAACATTAATTTATGAATACCATGACCTTGACCTTTGACCTTACAATTTGACCATGTGACATAAAATTCAATGTGGGCCTGCATATCACTACGGGGTATTGTAAACCAAAATTAGGTTTTCATTTCATATAGTTTTGGTTAAAAACGGGAGATAAAGTTGAATTTTATCAAAAATAGCCTTTTTTGTTGTTGCCATGGTTTCACGCTTTCAGTGATTTATCTCTCTTAAAAGATCCGCGACCCCCTATTATTTTTTTTTTGCTTTTTCTGAACTTCACTTATTATTCTCTAATAGTACAAAGTTTAATGGAAATATGTAATTTAGTTCTCTGATTTTTTTTAGGATGAAGGTAATGCAGGTGATATTATTAGTCTTTTCCCGCCAAAAATGGATAATTGGATTAAGAATGGGAAATATCTTTCTAAAACTAACGGTGACCTATATATTTGTTTTAGCTGAACATGTAAAACTATACTTGTGCTTGTTGTAAAACAAATTTAAACAAAATCTTATATAAATGGTATCCGTTATCAAAATCTAAGTATGTCAACACACAATTTTCCCTTTTATTCTTTTGTAAAACAGCAACAAAACCCTCCTTATTTTGGTGGCCTATAAAACGCTTAAATGAACGATGACCCCCTAATTTTATTTCATTATTTTGATCCACACTTTTTAAGGGATAAAATATCAAGTTTTCAGGAATTTCTTATATAAAGTGTTTATAGCCTCGATCCTCCTTAAGTAAGCCCTTCAATCCCTACCCATTTACTTTTTTTATTGGTTTATTGGATTATGTCTTAGATTTTAAGACAAAAAAAGTCAAGTTAATAAAAAGCTGTAAAAAGGACCAAAATATTCAGTGAATACATGTAATCACTGAAACAATCAGTAAATACATGTAATTACTAGATTGATTAGTAATTACAGGTATTTACTCAATTGTTTAGTAATTACGTGTAATTCCTAATTTCACCTATTTACTGTAACATTGACAATGAGGGTCAGTTGAGAATACAACTTTGCGATAAAATAGATTCAAATTTCAAATTATGAAGTTTCTAGTAGCAATTTTCAGCAGCGCCTTCATAGGGAGTATTTATCTTCCAAATGATAAGATATTCCACAGCTTGCATTTCCTATCTTGATTCCATGATACAGGGTCACTGCTCACAACAAAGCCTTCAAACCAAGAGTGTCAAGTGGGTAAGTTGAATCATTTCCTTTAATGATTTTACGGACGCCATCACGAGTTGATTGACCGTTATGGAATATCTGTAACAGTACCAGTTTTGTCTTTCCTTTGATATGGACAAGTTAGGTTTCATGATTAATAAATTTGGTGATGTCTTTGGGTTAGATAAGTGTCAGTTAACAATCCAGGATTTTGATTTTGTTTTGGTCTTATAATGATGTATTTATTTCGACTAAAAAATATTATGTAATCGATGCTCCTTTGCAATCTCCTCCTTCCTTTGTATACTATACTACGCAGTTCAAATTATTTTTATTGAACACTACATGTTTTTATTTTTTTACAGATATTACATATCAAGACTTTGAATCTGTGTGGGCCACGAAAGTTTTTACAATCAGCAATGAACTTAGAAATGGATTCGAAATAGAGATTTTCAAAATACTTGGGGAAAGAAGGGTATATTTATTATTACAATATTTGTGTTATTAGCAATAGATATACTATATAACAGTCACTATCATTGCTGAAAATACTTCTATTATCATAAAAGTTTAACTTACCCTCCATCAACATAACACGAGTATATTTTCTAGTTTCACCATTAAAATCATCTCCACTAATAAATCGCTCAGGCTAAAATCAGAACAACCACAACTTCTACAACTATCACTTTCACCAAACAAAGGCAACATTAGTATACCGCTATTCGAAATTCATAAATCGATTGATAAAAAAAAACAAATCCGGGTTACAAACTAAAATTGAGGGAAACGCATCAAATATAAGAGGAGAACAACGACACAACACTAAAATGCAACACACACAGACACGAACTATAATATAACAATGGCCATTTATCTGACTTGGTACAGGACATTTTAAAAAAAAAGGGTGGGTTGAACCTGGTTTTGTGGCTAGCCAAACCTCCCGCTGTTATTGCAATGTTAAATATAACATTAAAATGACAAGATTACACGACAGGACTACAATACAAATAAATGGGAGGACATACAGGACAGAGACACACACAAATAATAGCTATCAAAAGGTACCAGGCTTATAATTTAATACGCCAGACGCGCGTTTCGTCTACATAAGACCAATCAGTGACGTTCAAGACATGGCTGAGAGGTCTATGTAGTTATCGCTAGTCTATCAACTCTGAGATTGAAATTGACTCAGATTTCAACTGATAATGGTTGCCCGTTTTCCTTCCAAGGGTCGTTGATATTATCTGATATATCTTCCGGTTTCCTTCACTAATACAACTAACCGCCATAATATAGCCAAATAACTGAAAGTGGCGTGAAACATCAACAAACATACAATAACACATTATCTCTCATTAAACAAGGAAAATATTCGTGAGAGTTTTCTAGGTCCTATGCAAGGGAATGATTTAATATTTGGTCTGCAGCTTGAAAATGTTGAGTTGTTGCGAGTAAGCAAATTTTACATCTACCGTGTAGCCATTTCCTGTACCGACAGTTTGAAATTTTACAACTGTCATTGTACGAAAATATTTTCTCGGTTACTATGAAAGGGAACGAATTGATATTCGGGGTGCAGTTTGATAATGCTATAAATCGAGCAAGTGAGCAAATTTATATCTGATGTGTATCCATTTTCTGTTTGTCGATAATTTGAAATTTTTCAATACCAATTTATTCAAAGCCATTGCACAAGGGAAATTTGAGCGCAAGTTTTCTTGGATTCAGTGGAATGAAATGAATAAAAAGACTCCAGTAATATGTTATCTCAATCAATAACATGCCGCGACGAGGGTCAAGATCAGGTATTGGTCTTGTTTATATGACTGTCTGCTAGCCAAATTGTTTAAAGACTGTAAATTTCAAACGGTCAAACTCCGTAAAAGTGTTTGATTTCGAAAGTGCATAATTATATTTATTCCAGCAATTTGTTGCTGAAATTAAATGAAATCAATCATGAATCTTATTTGCATTTAGGATTTTATCATTACCATGCACTACAAACCAGTAAAAGTCTGAAATGGCCTATATTTGTACTCCACTGTACTGATTTGTACTCGACCAGTCTGAATTGGTCTGAAATTTACTTGATAATGCTCGACTGTAGTCTGAACCATACTTAACAGTCTGAACTTGTACTCGACCTTTACTCGACCAGTACTTAGCCATTTTATTTTCGTCTGAACCATGCTCGACCTAGTCTGAACCATGCTCGACCTAATCTGAACCATACTCGACCTAGTCTGAACCATACTCGACAAAGTTTTAACCAACCTAGACCTAATTTTCGTATCTATCTATTGTATTTCATCAATTCAGGAAATGTTTCCCCTGGCTAGAAATTTGAACAACAAATAAATTCAACACCATATTTATTAACACTTACATATATATATCACCTTTAAAAATAAAAATAAAACAAGCTGATCAAATAATCTCAAAACTGAATTGTGACTAATATTTTCAATGTTATTCAATTTTTTTTTGAATGTTTCAGATATATTTTATGGTTACTTGACGATTTTCACCATTTATATTAAGCCTTGTATAGATTTATGGTGCTAGTTGAGTTTAGTTAATGCAGTGAACATTTTTTTTTATTAAATTATATTAAATAGTATATAAAGCAACTTAATAAATTTTAAAAATCACACCTTTGTTTTGTAAAACTAAGAATTTAATATAATCATGATAATAGAACTTCCATAGCAATCCTTGATTGATAGATATAGGAAGATGTGGTATGAGTGCCAATGAGACAACTCTCCATCCAAGTTACAATCCACAAAAGCAAACCATTATAGGTCAAGGTACGGTCTTCAACACGGAGCATTGGCTCACACCGAACAGCAAGCTATAAAGGGCCCCAAAAAATTACTAGTGTAAAACCATTCAAACCAACGGTCTAATCTATATAAAAACGAGAAACACGTATGAACAACATAAACAGACGACAACTACTGTAATCAGATTCCTGACTTCGGACAGGGGCAAACATTTCCAGCGGGATTAAACGTTTTAATGGTACCAAACCTTCTCCCTTTTCTGAAACAATAGTATTATATCACAACATAGAAAAACACACTTCAAAATATCAATTGGAAGGCTTAACTCATTCAAAAAACGTAAAAGTCAAGAGTTAATAAACAGGTTTAAACAAAGTTAAAGTATGATATTATTGTGAAATAACAAACAATTTTTAGAAAATCATCACTTTTGAAGAAACCTGTGTCATATTATACACAGGTAAATGAAAATAATTTTGTTGTTAAGTATACTTCTTCTTCTGTGTGTATAAAATATCCGTTTAGGATAACCATTTAAAAAAGGAAATGTGTTCCAAAGTTGTAGAAAAATTTATTTCAATTACATTTAAATAACTTTTGTCAAAATTAAAGACATGGCAAGCACAAGAAGCACTTTAATAAGGTTTAATTACCTCAGTACATGTGTGTTTTACAGGTACAAAGAAAGTTCTTTTTTTCTTAAACTCGTGTATTACTTATCTAGTGAATTCAAAAGGCCTTGCAATTTATGTTTTACAGGATGTTGCAATTTTTAATGAATGTTAATTAGAAATTAACACTCTCTGACCAGGTGTGATCTTTTTAATGAGTTTGCCCCAAGCTTAAGGTATTACTTTATACTTTACCACTAATCAGAAGAAAAATTTTATCTATTTCTTTAATTTTGTTTTCCCGTTTTGATATATATTATAATATATCCCAAATTATTTTAAGAATAGATATATTTCTAAAATAAGGTTAAACAATTTGAGTGATTTTTTGGCTGTTGGTACCTCATTAAAAAGATAATTATATAACTATTGTATGTAACCATGAACATGATGAAACCTATATAGTTTTTCTTTAGGAATTTAGGAAAATTAAGTTTAAAAAAAAAACATGCCAAACAAGAAGCACCTTAATAAGGTTTTATTACCCTCAGTAAAGGTGTGGTTTTTAGTTAAAAGAAAAACTTTTTTTTAACAAAACTCTAAAACTTTAAAATTAATATAATTAAATTATTGTATAAGATAATTTAATTTATCTATCTCTATTTGATAAATCTGAGAATCATGTAAGGATGTAAAAATATGTTTTTATATATATCTTTATTTTATTGTGGCTGTTGTCATGTCAGAAAAAAATAAATTAATTTTAACAGCTAAAATTAAAAAAAAAGTATAGGTTTTTTGGTCAAGTATGGTTCAGACTGGTCGAGTATGGTTTAGACTGAAAAAAATGGTTGGGTACAGGTCGAGAATGGGTTAAGACTGTTTCAGACTGGTCGAGTAATAGTTCAGACTATTTTCAATGACAAAGATAAGGGTCAAGTACAAATCAGTACGGTCGAGTATGGTTAAGACTGGGGCCGAGTAATGTCGAGTAAAATTCAGACAAATTCAGACTGGTCGAGTAAAAATCAGTACAGTCGAGTACAGATATAGGCCATTTCAGACTTCTACTGGTTTGTAGTGATGCATTTTCAGATTTGCTTGAAGAATCCCTGTTTCTACTAATCATTTAAACAGTCGTGATAATTTGTATTCATAACATTTGTAACCCCTTAATTATAATGAAAATTTTGCTACCGTTTTGTCTTTCCAAAATATGTAAGTGATAGAGACTGTAGTGCAAATTCTATCCGTGGGAAATTTTTATCTTCCATTCCTATTTATATACAATAGGCACCCATGTTTCATTTTCCAAATGTTTTATAGGAGATTGTGTTGACACTTTTTTATATAGATGTTTATATCATTTTAAGTAAAAGTTGCAACCACGTTTGATTTGGGTAATCAGCTATTATCTGTAATTCAAATGAATGTATGATACCGATTTCAGTATTTTTTACACACGTTTCCTATTCCTTTTCCATCATTATACTCTCGAGAAATATAAAGTAGTATATCAAAATAGAATCTTATCGCACAGACATTACGCACAGTATTCGGTCTATTTTCATTTCACCATTTTTATGCATAAATAGGATTTAAACAAATTATTTCTACGCATTATCAAATAGTAAATTGTTTTAATTTATCGTTTGAATCGAAATTAAAAGAAATCTGATCTTAATAGATTTATTATATAATTGAGAGTTCTAAGTCCGAGTTTATAATGCCGTTTTCACCATGTAAGACAAAACAAACAGAATTAACCATCGAAATCCAGACGAAGAAAAATATACGAACTGCTGAAAAGATTTCGTGCATAAAATGTTTACAATTGGGATATACATGTAATATCAGCAAAGTCATGACACGATATATATCATGTCAATTCGCAGTCTAGCGGTCATTTTATGAAATCCGTACAGCTGTAAGATTTCAAGATTCTATTACACAAAAATTAAAGCAAGCACTTCGATACTGTAGTATTTTTACATAAATTATGGCACAAATTGTTAACTCAACATTATAATGTGATTTTATTAAATTTTACAAATGACTATTTATATTTAACATATCTTCTATTATTTATTTCACCCGAAATTTTCGAATATTTGTTTGTAGCATATCCTGTAATAACACCGATGCTCTGTTTTCGAAACCTAGTTACAAAGACATATGCATGTTGATGATTGTATGTCTCTGATAGAACGAGTGTATGTTTTTACGTAGCAGACATTTAAACACATCCGACAAACAAACGCATGTGAAAAGTACTTATTATTGGCATTTCAAGGACTGTAAACATTTTCATAATTTAATACGAATAACTCAAAATCAAATTTTCATCGCAATAATGTGTCATCACGTAAATTGCACTTGAATGCTTGCACTCCATTACTGCATTATTTCATATGTAAAATGTACAATTGAAATAAAGAATGCATCAACGAAACCAATTTATATAATGTTATTAGGTACGTATACGTGAGAATAACAGATGGCACTCAAATTGCAGTAATTGGAGTAACAGTGTAGCATTCAAAGAGTTGTCATTCAAACTTAATTTGCGACAGTAAAACTATCGTTGGACGTCCGCAAAGCTTCAAATACAATACAGTTATCTCTAAATTCTAATGCAATTATTTTGTATCAATAGTTTTGATTGGATGACAATAAGCGTAAAATTCTCTATCTCCCTTGTCTGTAACAAGGTACTTTTATTTCTCATGCTCCTGATTTGAATGAATAAACCGGTTAAACACTTATAAACTCATCGCCACCGATCGAAATGTAAAAACAGCGATAGACTAAGATATTCCTAAATGTGCATCTGCTCTATGGTCGGGTTGTTGTCTGTTTGACACATTCCCCATTTCCATTCTCAATTTTATGTGGTATATAAGAGAAATTATGAATGTTTCTAAGAACTTACACATCTTTTTTAATTGGAAAATTAACAGGTCGATTGTGACGAGTCATTTACTGTATTTGCAGATCGAATATGTTCTGTTGAATATATTTCTTTATGCCCTATTCAGTAACGTAGCGATGTTTTATTGCACTTGTTGAAGGATACTTATTGATTGTTAAAATGATATTGTATGTACAGTGTGTCCATTTATAATATTTACCATAGAAATGGTCATCTTATGAAACAAATATTGACGTGATCACAGACATTAAAGTGTTCTTGACAATTTTTGTTCATGATTGACCTTCATATATTTCGTAAATTTTATTCAGTTATATACATTCTCCTGTAAGAATGAGTGTGACGACTGGGAAACCCATATACGGAGACTTCCAATCGAAGACAACTTATACAAGAAGCCAAAACTAGTTACACAGATGTATTAAATACTAGAAAGTCGCGTTCTGATCAAACTTTACAGAAACATAATGTATTTGTTAATGGCATAATAAAGTCCTATTAACTTCAAATATTTACACTTGTGTATTATGGTATGTCTTTATGTAATAAACTAGTTCTATCCATCATGTATCAATCCACATGAAATACATATAAGATGTACGCATGTTTCCCTACAAACCATGTCATATTAGTGGGTGTGAAGTATGCTCCACAAACTTTGTATGCTAACAATAATTAATTTATTGGCAACAAAAACTGTGCTAGAAAATTACACTAAGACATTGTAATAATCATATCTGGTACTGTACCTTTATTGCTCCTTTACCATATAAATATAAAAAGATGGAGTGTAATTGGCAATTAAAATACTATCCACATTGGACAACATGACGCATATATAAGCAACCAAAGGATCACCGTAAACAATTTGGAAAATCCATATCGTATATATAAAAAGTCATAATAACAGAAAAGAATCCCTACAATTCAAAGAAAAAAACCAACAGCCTGATATGTACCAAACAATAAAAGAAAACGAACATATATATTAGCCAGCAACCAATGACTACCGCTGAATATGGACATGAATCAGGCACATGTAGATTATGACAGAGTTCAACAGAGTTTGAAAGCACTGACTGCCATAAAAACCTGTGCAGTTTTGTGACAGCATAGCATGTGCGGCTAAAACAAAAGCAAAAAAACTCTCGTCTTTAGTTAACATGTATTTGAAATACAAGATACGTTTATGTTAAGAGGGATTTATTTTATCCCCAACATTCAAAGAAGTTTAGCTTTATATTTAAAATATTCTATCATACAATATGTATAAGGTAAACCAATGCGTGGTGTATACAAGAAAATCATTAAAAGCAAATTTAACCTCTAAAAGAGAAGTGAAAGATACCAAAGATATATCAAAACTCGAAGACAAACTAACAACGCCATTGGAACAAAACGAAAAACTACTACAAGACAGATAACAAACAACAAAACCCAACAGAGATAACCAAAGATTGATTAATACAAAATCCACCAAAAGCGGAGGTGATCTGAGGTACTCAGGAAGGGTAACTAGATTCATCTCTACATGTTGTACGCCATGAACCCGTCGTGTTGCTCTTGTAAGTACATATTCGGTAATTACACATTGAGGAAAAAGGGAAGGGATCATGATAACGACTACTGCAAATTCAGAAATTATTGGGATGTTTTTATTATTGCGAAAAATGTGACAGGGTTATAATTGCAATAATGTTAACTCGCATTTTAGTCTAAAATAACAAAATCACAAAAATAAATGCACGCAATAATTTCTGAATTTACAGTATTTGAAAATGTACTTCATCAGCTGTGAATATATATTACATGACGTGCAGCTAACTTGAGATGGTGTCCGTACAATTTTCGAAAATATGAATTCTACTTCATCTCTTGGAGCTCTCTGTCTACTGCCTTCCTTGTTAACAGTTTACCTGACTTTCAAGAAACATACAAACAATTCTAAAAAGAAAAAAAAAAAAAAAACGCCAACAAAATTGTAGTTGATAGTACATACAGTATATAGTATACCCGTTCTACATTAAATACAAATTAAGTAAAATATAAATATAAGGGTGAGAAAGTGAAAAAAACACTGTAAAAACCTTTTGGATCCGAATTGCATCTCTGCACCTGGAACACCAAAATCCAAAACCCCGATAGCTGAATGCAGTATTATCTAACCACGTCAAGCGTTTTACAACCAAAAGGAACATAATAGCACAAAGGCAAAGAAGGTAAAAATTGTTAAGTAGATAGAAGAAAAGAAAGAGTCAACCAAGAGGGATGCACAGTTAGTTCCAATATGAATGCCGACAACCTGTTAAAGAATTTTACCTCGAAATTCAACAAATGTGTCGTAAAAAAAAACTAAAGTATGCTGATCCCAATGACTGACTTACCAATAAAAACAGGGTTTTCATTGGACGTCTCTTGTCCGAATGCAAGCCGTGATTTAAGGTTTTGGGTTCGTTTGGCTTCGTGGTATGTACAAACACGAAGCCACGTTTAGTCGAAACTGTGTCGTTATATTAGATTTATCAGGCATTGTTAGCTGATCTGTGGCAAGGTATATTTCCCTTTTCAGCAAATACAATGGCTTGTTCTTGTCGAACATACCTTCACTTTTTCTTCTCTGCTTAATTTTGTTTATGTTTACAACATTTTAAGATGAACTCGATTATTAAAAACAAATAATTGCAAATCGAATTATCAAGACGAGGTTCTGTTTCAACATGTTTCTTAGGAGAAGGAATGGGAGCTTGACTCCTTTTAGATGTTATTGCTTTAACCCATTGTCTAGCGTTCTTGTGGAAATCTATAGTAGACAAAGAGAAACCGCAAACAGCAAAATGTGATCTATAAAATAAGATACAAAAAAAAGGAAATTACCAAAAGCATCACTTAATCCCTAAATGTCATTCTATTCTGAATGCAAAATTGTATCTCAATTGCAACGAATCAATAAAGAAAATGATTCAAATGATAATAAAACAAACATTTTCAATGTAAAAAGTAAAATCACAAAAATACTGAACAAATGCCGACAAAATTTTGACGACTTTTTTTAACTTTAAGATAATTGTTTCTAAAATACTTGAAATAATTTAAAAAGACATTTTTTATAAAAATATAATAAGAAGATGTGGTATGATTGCCAATGAGACAAAATCTTCACAAGAGACCAAATGACACAGAAATATGAAATTTATGTTTCCATATACATAGAACACTGCTTAATGATACATAAATTGTACTGATGCTTTTTTCAAAGCCGAATTCAAATCTTAGATGAGAAATATAAAGAGAAGCTGGACATACCAAGAGGACATGACATTCCATGCAAAACGAAAGTTATTTTAAATCTGATCCATCATCAGAATAGCAACAATAAATGTTTGTTTTTAGATCCACATGATAACAAACATTTCTCTTTTAGTTGTATTTCTTTTAATTCAGTAAAGCATTACTTTAGAATTTCATCAAAGGAATTCATGATTAATTACGTACTGTACATTGCCGATATAAATGTAACATTTGCCACATGACACGTACTACAAACAAGTTCTGTCGAAATTTGAATAAAAACCCCAACCAATATTTAACAGTACCTTTCTTTTAATTTTATTTAGACCAACTAGAAATACATCTCGTTATATTTAATTAAGATTATAACCAACCGAATATTTGAAAATGACTGATTGCGCCTTATTAATCATTTCAATTTGAACTATTTGTTCCAAATCCGATATTATTGTAAAATCTGGAAAAGAACGCTTAAGAGTACACCAATGTATCAACACAATTGCACATGTGTCATGTTCATCAACCGAATATCCCTGATTTGTATATTGAATGCATATACATCAAACGTCTTTCTGTAAAAAATATAGTACATCATTTAAATTTCACGGAGATGAAAACCACACTCACTTCAGGGTAAGTGTATTTTTCACTAATTTTCATGATCGAATTATATCTGTTCAATATTATACAAGAATACAGATAAGTTAGAATAGTAAATAGTTTGTAGATGATCAGAGGAGGCACGCCAAAAAATAGTTCACGTTTGAGACCAGTTTGCTGTGGGGTATGGGTTTTGCTCATTATCGATGGCCTAGTCGTGACCTATTGTCGTTACCTTCTACGTCATTTGGTCTCTAGTAGGTAGTTGTCTTATTGAAAATCATATTACATCTTCTTTGTTTTATATTGTATCTATGAATTATCATTGTAATATTGTTTTCAATAAGATATAATTCAAGCAATAGATAATCTGTCTTCCTGTTCACCATTCGTGACGAGAGAAATAAAATAACAGTTATCTTCCCTTTGAATGTTCTTTACGGAAATATATTTCGTTAGAATCTATATATAGAAAGTAAGGTAAGAATTTAAAACATTCCACCATCAAGTACACTTTTAAATAGAAGTATTTATATTTGATTACTATGTTATTTGTGCTTCGATAAACTGAATTACACATATCATAAGTGATTAGAAACTGTAAATTATTTGCATCAGTGAGTACTAACTTTTTACTTTCGTTTTTTGCTCGACACAATCAATATGATTTTAGGATTTGCATTCAATTGATTATTTGTTAAATAAAGGCAACAGTAGTATACCGCTGTTCAGAAGTCATAAATCGGTTGAGAGAAAACAAATCCGGGTTACAAACTTAAACCGAGGGAAACACATCAACTATAAGCGGAAAACAACGGAATAATAGAACAGTTCAACAAACAACAATGCAACATTTATAGAATCGAACTATTAGATAAAAACTGCAATATCCCTGACTTGGAACAGGACATTTTAAGAAAAAATGGTGGGTTGAGCCTGGGTTTGTGGCTTAATCTTGACATTACTGAATCCCATCTTATTGAATGTAATCACAATATTTTACTACTAAAGTGTAATCTATATTCGACAAGACTTCAAATGGTTATACCTAAGTGGAAGACATAATAACAACCCAAGTCTTTTATTCTAGGTTAAAGTCTTACTTTACAATGTTTACCTTTTAAACTCGACATCCTTGAACCATAAAGGAAATCTTATTCGTATAAATAAGTTTGTTCGAAAACATAATATGATTCAAACTAACCAATGCAATAGCTTATTTAGCTCAAAATGAATGTTTAACTTAATCATCCTTATCATTTTGTATTTTAAGGTAGACATGTCTGAACTTTTGCAATTTCTCTTATCAATGGAAATAAAAGAGGCAAATGGGGAAAACGGGGATACTGTTGAATCAAAGATAAACGGTGCTAGCTATGTCATCGGAGACAAAGCAAAATATAAATTTAGGGTAAGATATGATGTCATAACACTTTATGGGATGGTTCAAATCATCATCAATATAATATATTAAAATCAACAAAATTACAAAACTATAATTCTGTGTACAAAAAAAACCCTAGTATTACAGCTTTCAACATATGCTATTGATTACAAAGTGGATCTAAGAATTGCAGGGTGATAAAACAAAACTG